GGGGCCATCATGTCCACCTAATTGTCATTGTCTAATTGCTGGTGACGGAAAGAATCATACACTGAATTCAGAGGTCTGGGTATTTCTGAAGTATAGAGAATTATTATTTTCTGAGCTCCTTTCCAAGTATATTTCTTAACTTTAGTTAAAATCCTTCTCTGATCCAAAAACATATATTCATTTTATTATTCCCTGTATCATTTCCCTGGAAATGAAGTAGTTCGTGGAACACAGATTTCCATTGTTTGGAGCCAATTTTACACACAAGATAGTGTATGCATTGCGTATGTGATAGGATGTAGGGACTCCACAGTCCCACACTATGACCCTAACCAGCCTATCAGATGTTTAAAATTAATAACATTAGAGTTGAATATCTAAGTAGCAAATGAAAATGAAAATAATCAGAAATAATCAGTAGAAGTGTCTCCTCAATCTGCTGTTATTTAGAATTTGAGGAGTTCATTTTTAAAATTGATAATTCTTGGAGTTTACCTTTGGGGATGTGTTTCAGTAGACTTGGGGTAATCATTTGTGTTATTTTGTTTTAGCAAGCGCTCCTAAGCATGGCATTTGGAATTATGTATAGTTCAATACAATATTAGAAAGAACTTGTGTATAAGAAACATTAAGTTATTGTCATAAGAATAAGAAGATCTAACATCTTAAAAACTTGTTTTTTTTTTCCCAGTACAAAATAGGAATAAAACCTGAGTTTTCATATTTTTGAGCTTCCAGGATAGCCAGGTACTGTTCCATGCTCTGGGAGAACAATGTGTAGTTGACATTTGGTAGGCACTCTCAACTCAGTGGTACACTCTCACTAGAAGATGATCACTTTATTTCTATTTCAATCTTTAATTAAATGCTTGAATATATGCTTTGTTAAAAACTAATCTGGAAGCAGCAGTCTTCTTTAAGTCCCAGTGATTCATAAATTTCCAGAGAAATGACAACTGTTACAGGATTTCTGAGAGAAGAGATTGAGTATGTAAGAAAGGTAGAACAGACTGCATTATATATGGGATGCAAGATTCCCCACAGTATAGATTCTTATACAATGATTACCACCCATTTCAGTGAGCAGAAGGACATCTGTAGTGGTAATCAATGAGTTTATAATACTGAATGGTAGGATGAAGAGGGAGAAGAAGACTAATTTTAGAAAAATTTAACCTAGTCCTTTTCTTAATCTGGCAATGCAAACATTTTGACACTATGAATTATTAGGGTCATCTAAATAATCTTATAATTTGAGGCATATTCTGATGAAGATGACTGAAATTTAAGGATTGCCAATTTTCAGGTGATGTGTATCTCTTTTTTTCTTCTTCTTCATTCCTTTTTGAAGGTTGAGAGACACTACTATGAAGTTAGCATATCTGTGAGAGAGGAAAGAGGGGGAAAAAAAGGATCTTTACCCAAATTACCAACCTCCATTGTATTTAGGATAAATGACTTGGAGGAATATTTTCTAAGTCATCTTAGATCAGAAGGGAATTGTGTGTAATCGTTTCATCATTGATACAGTGTAAGAACTTACTTAATTTGATTGCAAAGAGCATAATATACAAAAGGTTTTACTAGTATTGTATACAAAACAAAAGATTTCTTCAAATATAAAGACAATAGAATAAAAGGATTGAAATATCTTTCTACTTATACTTCTGCAAATAAAAGAGCAATATGGGTGTTACAACATACTGGAACACATTGGGGGATTTTTTTTTAGAACAACTATTGTCTCCCTTTGATTCCTCAAAACAAAAGCATTTTGTGGAAATGAGAATTGCTGTCACTTTTGTCAGGTAATTATTCAACTTTGAGTAAAGTGAATATTATCCTTTCTCCTTTTAGCAATAAAATTAAAATATTCCTGGTTTTGAAAGATGTGTTTTACCCCTCATAAGTTGGAAATTATCTCAATGCACTTTCCACAAGAATTTACAACAGAGATCTTAGAATGAAGCAAACTGAACTCAAACTATTTTGGGGACCCCTACTATGTTTCAGGCAACTTACTGGAGTCTATAAGGAATAGGAGGTATAGTTTGAGTGCCTACTATATTCCTCCCACTATACAAGATGGCATAAAACTAATAAAACTAAGTCTAAAACCAGGGTAGATAGGTACCAGCTTTAGATAGTCTTGAGTTTCTTTTTCCTCTTAGAAATTTAACATATTATCAATTTCCTTTGTGCCTAAGGCTGCTAATATTTAAACAGATTTTAATAACTGATACCACATAGCAGTGTTATAGGAATTTATAAAAATATTCATATATACATGTATATATTTTATATAAAACATCATATATAGCTAAATATTATAATGAATAAATATATAATTATATCTGAGCACATATAAGAATAGAAAACTATTTTGCATAAGTATATAAAATAGAATATTCTGTAAGTATAGAGAAATATTTAGTAAACAATATGTCACATTGTAAGTACTCAATACATAAAGCTATTGTTAAATAGATAGGGGATGCTTATTTCTGAAATATGAATAATATAGTAATTATAGTGACAGCTATAAGGTTTGCCAAAGTAAACAAACTGCAGTGGATTGAAATTGCCTGCTTAAAGATAAACTTTAGGCAAGATACTAAAAAATCTCTAAACCCTACTTCCCTTTTGGGAATAACTGTAGGTATAAATTATGTAACCAATAAAATTGTAAAGATTAATGGGCATAGATAATGTGAGGTTTCCTAATACATATTAGAATGCACACACTTTGCTTGGAACTAAATAGAAAATACAAGCTCAGAACTAAAGAGAAAAACAATTCCCGGTCTATCTACGTAATCATGAGATTTAGAACCAGACCAAGATGGATCCTTCTAAGAAAGGTCATTCATCACCCCAAGAATAGCATAGTTAAAAAAAAATTATGTAAGAATCATAGAGAAAGAGAGGGAGAGGGAAAGGGAGATACCCCTGATTGATTAACTGTTATTTTTAATGTCTCTACATTCTGAAGTATAAATTATCAATTGAGGAGATTCTTAAGTGAAGAAAACCAAGAAATCTTGGTGCATAACTCTTAGATACCACAATGAATCAGTGACTATATCTTTTTTTTAATATTTGTTTATTTATTTATTTATTTATTTATTTATTTATTTATTTATTTATTTATTTATACAAGCACTGGGTACAGTCAGAAGCGCAGGAGGGTGAAAGAATTCACCAGAGCCAGAGCAGGGAGTAGAACAGGCAGATTGACAAAGTACACTGCTGAGGGGAGCAGCAGCGGGCAGCAGGAGAGGTCTACGCGCCATGTGGGACACTCACCCAGAGGCTGGGGATTGAACCTGTGCTGCAGAGGCTGCGGGCAGCTTCTCAACCCAAAGCTCAACCACTGCGCCACTGGGGAGGCCCAGTGACTATATCTTATTACATTCTTTGAGATACTAGAAAGAACCAGTGTCAGTGTCATTTACATGTGCAAGAGATACTGCAGTTGCTGGACCACCTAAGCAAGAAGATTAATGACAAGTGCTCAGTGAATTTTGGCTTAATAAATGAACTTTGTTTCTGGCTCCAGACCCCATTTGGCTTCTAAATACTTTGTGAGTAATATTTAAGATCACAGGGGCACAATAAGTCTCCCATCTGTTTTAAGGAGATTAGGCTGTAAAAAGGTTCAACATTTCCTGTTTTGTTTGGTAAGACACCTTCTAAGATTCTTTTCTCAATTTTCTAGGACATTTAGAAAGATAGCTTTTGTTACTACAAAACACTAGCTAAAATCCTATATGATGTATTTATTCTTAACAAAGTAATATGGTCAGTAAGTTGCTTCAATGTCAGTACTAGTTGGTTTATAATATTTGGTAATGCATGTTTTAAGAAGAGAGTATTTTTTTGGAGATGTAACATTCTCTTTACATATGAAAGAAAGAAAACCTCCATTTAGCAAAAATTGTAGTAATTTTTTTTCATAAAAATCTGAAATTGGGGCCTCCCTGGTGGTGCAAGGGGTTAAGATGCAACCTATGAAACAATCAGCAGTCTCTGCAGCAGGAGTTTGATTCTCTGGCCAGCCAGGGAACAACCAACATGGCACAGCAGACCTCTCCTGACTCATCCGCTACTCCCCTCAGCAGTGTACTTTGGTCAGTCTGCCTGTTCTGTTCCCCACTCTGTCTCTGGTGAATCCTCTCACCCCCACCCCCATTGCCTCTGGTCTGTACCCCAGCTCTTGTATGTATAAATAAAATAAATCTATAAAAAGATCTGAAATTGGTCAGATTTTTCTGTTGAGCTAAGTATTTTTTTTAAAGATTTACTTATTTTTATACAAGAGTTGGGGTACAGGCCAGATGTGCTGGAGAGTGAGAGGATTCACCAGAGACAGAGCAGGGAACAGAACAGGCAGACAACTGAAATACACTACTGAGGGGAGAGTGGGCACAACAGGAGAAGTCTACCATGCCATATGGGAATCTCCCTGGCTGGCCGGGAATTGAACCTGAGCTGCAGAGGCTGTGGACAGCTTCACAGCACTGTGCTCAATCCACTGTACCATGAGGGAGGCCTGAACTAAGTATTATTTACTTGCAATCACAAAATAAATGTCCTGAATGAGCTTCACAGCAGGACACACTACTTATAGAAAGCATATACGACCCCTATTAGTTGAAATTAAATAATGCATATTTATCTTCAAATACTTGAAATTAATCTTTCTAGATTTATGTGTATTATAAGCCTGTGTCAATAACCTAAAATTTAGACAATTTTGTTGGTAAACATATTTAATTGTAAATTTAAAATTTATGGGGAATACCATAAATTCAAAGCCAGACAAACAATTTTACATATTTAAAAACAAATTCCTTGTTCTTTAAGTAAATGCTTAAGGCAATACACCAATTTTGGAACTATCTGGTGAGTGACCAAAAGAATTTTAAACAATTCAAATCAACATTACATATGACAACAACAATGATAATGATAAATGTTGTATATATAATTCCACTTACCTGTAATTACTGCTGTGAACTTGCTACTGAAGTTGCAGCATGAAAACACATGCTTAGTTTTTCCATGTTTTTTAATAATATATATTGTCAGTTTTTGCTGTCCTTTTTAATTGCTAATTGCATTTCAAAATGACTGATTAGCTGAAGTTGTAAAGGCACTTTGAAATGAATTATTTCATCTTCATTCTCCTATTTTTATGAAGATTCTTCCTGGAAAAAATGACAGCTCTATTTCATGCAGCTCTACCAAAGCAAATATTTGTATTTCATATATCTTTCTTGCATATAGAAAAGTTTCATCATAACTTATGTCATTTTAATGATGCTAATTATGATTAATATGCCCTTCACTGGGCTTGGTGTCATTGTAGAGAAGATTCCTCTCTGCCTCCCTCCTCTCTCTCTGCCTTTTCCATCAACTACTTTAGCCATTATAGATAACCATAAAAATAATTTTAATATTCTGACTTTCCAGAATTTTATATGGAATTCAAAATTTGTTAGTTTACCCACTTTTTTTCTCTACACCTTCTTTATCAGTCCCTTTAGAAAAATGTATTTAAACTATATATAGTTGAACTTTTATGCTATATGCCCAAAACACATACTTAGAATATATGTATATAGTTACATACATATATAGATATATATATTATATTTATACAATTTTATATTAGTTTGAAAATGAATCTATGTATCATATACTATGTAAACAAAAACATAAGTTATGTGAACAACGATATAACAATACAATCTAAATAAACAAATATAAGTAAATATTTTCCCAAGTTACTAACATATTCTTAGAGAAAAATCATACAACTCTAGCATAATATAGTACATAAAAATAGAAGAATTGACAGGTTCAAGAATTGCTTTGTCATAAATTAAGTAAAATTTTGCATATGAAATTTCACCTGAATCTTACAAATATGTAAAATATCTAATAAAAAAAGATAGGGAAGGTTTCCTGAAGAAGGATGAGAATTAAGAAAGAAGAGTGGACACAACAACAATGGCCATCAGCTGAATAATAGATTAATCAAATGTGCTATATACTTACAAGGAAGTATTATTCTGCCATGAAAGAAAGTGCTGATACATGCATGCTACAATATGGATGAATCTTGAAAACATAAAGTTAGCCTCAGAAAACCATATTTCATATGATAGCATTTACATGACATACCTGGGATAGGCAGATTTTTTTTTTGAAGATTTATTTATTTATTTATACAAGTACTGGGTATAGTCAGAGGCATGGGAGGGTGAGAGAATTCACCAGAGCCAGAACGGGAAACAGAACAGGCAGACTGATGAAATACACTGCTGAGGGGAGCAGCAGGCACGGCAGGAGAGGTCTGTGCGCCATCCTCCCTGGTGGCCGGGGATCGAACCTGCGGTGCAGAGGCTGCGGGCAGCTTCACAGCCCAGGGCTCAACCGCTGAGCCACCAGGGGAGGCCTGGATAGGCAGATCTAATGAGACATTATGAATTAGTGGACTGGGGAAGGGGGTCAAAAGAGTGTGAATTATTTATAGGTAATGGATTTCAGTTCAGAATGATGAAAATATTCTTTTTGATTGTGGTGATGACTGCCCAGTATGGTAAATGTACTAAAAACCACTGAAATACAGGGGCCTCCCTGGTGGTGCAAGGGGTTAAGTCTCAGCACTGTGACGTTATGGGCAGCTACTACAGCATGATTTGAGAGTTCCAGAATTTGATTGCTGGCAAGGGAGCTGACCCACATGGGGTAGCGGACCTCTCCTGTCTCACTTGCTGCTCCCCTCAGCAGTGTATTTCAGTAGATCTGCTTGTTCTGCCTGTACCCCACTCTGTCTCTGGTGAATCCTCTCACCCCCACACCTCTGGCCTATGCCCCAGTTCTTGTATGCATAAATATTTTTTTAAAAAAACACTGAATGATATACTTTAAATTGGTTGAAATGACAAATGACAAATTATATATTATATAATATAGTTATATATTATTATTTTTTAAAGATTTATTTATCTATGCATACAAGAACTGGGGTATAAGCCAGAGGTATGTATGTGTGTGGTGGGGGGGCGGGATGAGAGGATTCACCAGAGAGTGTGGGGAGCAGAACAGGCAGATATACTGAAATGAACTGCAGAGGAGAGCAGCAGGTGAGACAGCAGAGGTCTGCTTTGACATGTGGGTTAGCTCCCTGGTTGGCTGGGGATCAAACTTGTGCTGTAGTGGCTGGCAATAGCTTGATAGCACTGTCTTTAACCTCTGTACCACTAGGGAAGTCTAGTTGCATATTATTTTATATTAAAGTAAGAAGGTCAGAGAAGAAATACTGTGATATATTTTATGTTACTAATAATGTAGCAAATTATATTACCTGGCATGCAAAATATTGAAAACATCTATCAACAAGTTAATGTGTAAAGGAAATTTTTTGAAGGACCTTGCCAGTTTTGTGAAGGAATTTAAGGTAAATATTATAAATGACCATGTCTTATTGACATTCTATAATCAATGCTATTTCCAAATTTAATACATTCAATGTCATTAGAAAAGTCCACAGAAAAGTCTTGGGAAATATTTAAGTGTGCGGATGGATCATTTTATATTTGAAAGATTATGAGTTCATAAACTATAACAGAGTTCATTGCGTTGTAGAGAAGGGAAAATTTGCATTCAGGGAAAACATCTGTAAGAAACTTCAATTGTTGCAATGAGTCAGGATAGTCATTCTTCTTAAAAAGATTACTTCAAATGAAGGGATGTAGGTTTTTGATATTGCAAATTAATTAGTAATAAACAAAAATACTGACATCATAGAATAGTATATATGCATATATTTATCATATTTTACATACATAAATTAATCTATACATAGGTCTAGGTACCTATACATATATTAAGATGCAACTAATGGAAGTTATCATTTTTCAGTTTTTGAAAAGGTTATGGTTCAGCATGGTTAATTAACTTCTACAAAGTCACTCAATTAGAAAGAAATTAAAAGCATCATACTTTTCCATACTTATTTCAGGTATTTAATGTTTTCCCAATGCATTTTCATTTGATTTTTCTGGCAATCATGAAAAGGAGGATAACTAAATTTGAGAATATTTGTTCCTCCCAAAGTGAACAGATGAGGTAAGAGAGAAAGACAATGAAGGAAAAATCATAGTAAATCAACACCCATATTCATAAACAATTGGTACACCTTCCAACATAAGCAATAAACACCTTTTGCTCTATTAACATCAGCATTACTGTTGAAGAAAAATATTGACTAACCATCCAGAATTATAAATTTGATGTCTGTCTGGGCATTAGTTCACAGATACAAAGCCAAAGAAATCTTATTCAACTTTATTAAATGCATTCTTTATCCAAGATGAAGTGCCTATGACCCTCTATACTGTAATTCACAGTTGAGAGAGCTGCAGTTTGCCTTATTTTACAAAACAAACTATCAGACAACAGTGATAACAAAATAAGAGCTGGTGAACGCATCATCTTCAACAAAACAGTGTCAATTACTCCTAGGTCTGTATATGAAAACGATAACATCTTTCACCACCCCATTTCAAGCCAGCTAAGAAAAACAACTGCTTAAAAAAAATCCATTCTGTTCTGAGAAACAGAAAGAAAAGTTTGCAACAAAGATGCCACTTTACTTGTACTTGTTAAATGAACTTTCACTTAGGAATAGACATTCATTTTATAATAAAAATTCAGCTGGTAAATGCACTAAAATAGATTAGTAACATTAGAACTAACACCTTCTAAAATATTCATATTTAATTAAGTTAGATAAATTTGCAATTGAGCATATGAATTCTTCTTTATGTTTCTTTTTTCATTACTAAAATAAGGTACACACATTGATGTTTAATTTGTGCGACTTTGTATCACCAATATTAAGTAAAAAAAGTCATCGAATTTATGGTTGGGGGCAAATGTAGATGTTAAATTCATTTATTTTTACACTTTTAAGTACAGTTGACCCTTGAATAGTGAGGGATTTAAGGACACTGGAAAATCTGAATATAACTTTTGAGTCTCCAGAAATCTAATTACTAATAATCTTCTGTTGACTAGATCCTTATCAGTAACATAAACATTCAATTAGCACTTAATTTGTATGATATACACACACACACACACACACACACACATATATATATAAAACACTGTGAATTCTTACAACAAAACTAGAGAAAAGAAAATACTATTAATAAAATCATAAGGAAGAGAAAATACATTTATATTATATTTGTACTGTGTTTATACCTGAAGTTTATGGCATCTGTTTGTAAGAAAATCCTGCATAAAAGGACTGTACAGTTCAAACCTTTGTTTAACAGTCAACTTCATTTGAAATCTGTTAAATGGTGTTCAACTAGGTACACTTTATATTCCACCCATGCAATATATATGTTGATGCATTAATTCATTGATCATTCTAACTCTACTTGAAATCCCTTTGTTCATTTAATATCTAGCACCAAGCAAAATATTTCCTTAGCGCGCAAGTGAAATACACACACACAAACACACAAATATATGTAATAGGATAGATAATACATATGTACTATTATGACATAGATTCACATATATGAAATAAAAATAAATCTCCTATAAATAAAATATGAAGTATTTATAAACAAAGGTAGAAATTAGTAAATATGACAGTGTAGATTCACTAGCATAAATTATTTTATATGAGCAACTAGTAGCCAAGAGGAAAGATGGATGTAGTTAGTATATGGCAAAACAACCAATTTTATTATTTTACCAGCATTGTTTAGTTTAACAAAAACTATTGATGGTCGATCAGAAGCTATAATTAACTCTTTTCATAGTAGTATGTGGACTATAAAATTTTTATTTATAAATATTGGAAATATTTATAAATATTGGAGCAAGTTCAGTGGTTTGGAAAAAAAGAACTTCTTTGTGAGGATCCAGTTATGTGGATACATGAACTTTAAGAAACTTTTTATATGATAGAATATGTGCCATAATTCATACCAGTTGTAAAATTATCTTACATATTGTATATAAATTTGTTTTATTTTTATAAGGCAAAAAATGCTGTATTCTTTAACCTCGTATTAAAAGTCTAATTTCAAAACTGTAAGTCTTTTTGATATGAATTAATCATCCAGCTAATAAATGTTTTTTGCATTAAGATAATTTTTTAAAAATGTTGTGTCTA